GAGAGAGAGAGAGAGAGAGAGAGAGAGAGAGAGAGAGAGAGAGAGAGAGAGAACTTTATAAAAGCTTACCTTGAAAATAAATTAAACAAATGTCATTGGTTTGTTTATCAATAAAACAAATAAAAACCTGAAACAAGAAGGTGACTTTTATTAACAAATTCTGTACAACTCTTCAAGGTGAATAATAAAGTACAGTGATGCAAAGTGTTTTGAAAGCGCTTTCAGAGTGTACAAGCGAATCAGTCAATGAATTAATAGCAGACAGAGGAAAAAAGACTAACCAATAGAAATCCTTTAGGAAAAAGTATTCAATAATATTTAATGCACCATGGATATATAGTTAGTTTATGCTTCTTTCCGGTTGCCTGTAATCATTCAATCATAATACTTTAACACTTTAACATAATACTTTAACATCTACCATCCACATCTGTATACAGCATACTTAGTAACATTAGTCAAACTGCTTGTACCATAACAGTGCAAATTCAAGTATGTATCCATGGGTGAGATAAAACTTGTCTTCTCTTTTTAGAGGCAATGTGCACAACTTACTTCGTTTTGACATGATTTGATAATATTTTTCTGCTTTTTGCTTTAGTATTAGCTGACTGGGATATGTTTAGGATGATGCAGATTATAAGTGCTGTAAAAATAACACAACAATAAGCATTACATATCGGCACCTCTGGTATGTGACTAATTGCAGAATGGTAGGCAGTATTAGCAATTGCTGGGTCCTAAGTCTGTTCTTCTCAAAGTTCACAAATATTACCATCTTTTCCATTTTTACTTTAAAATAATGATCTATTATGAATGTGTCCAGTTCTCAGCATTCTTTTTAAGTTCAGAATGTGATTTACATCATTATGCTGAATAGAAACTTTGAATTTCATTAAAGTTCATAAAACGTATTAAACTTTCACTTACCTTTTGTACAGAAGACACGGGAACTAGTTTTAGTTTGGAAAGTAAAAGGTTTAACATAGTTTGGGTTGTTGGCAGAACTGATATGTGAGCAAAGCCATCATGTTTACTACTATGCTGGATTTCATCCTCAGCATTCAGATTTACACCATATAATTCTGAGAAGGATGAAATCTACAGTACCTCTAAATATCTGTGCAGAGTCTTTTTACATATTTTTCTATTATACTGCCACCAAATAATTCCATTTAAATCTTATCTAAATTCCCTCAGATGCATTTCTAAAATGCCATCTATTTAAAACATGGGAAAAAATAAGCATCAGGATGAATATTGTGAGATGTTTTCACCATTATGATATCTACAGTCACAGAACACTTTCCTGTTGTTTATATTCTACTTTCCTAAATGAAATAGCTTCTGACTAAGTCTTCCCGCACCCACCCACCCCCGCTCTTTCTTTTAGGGTCCTGATGGCTACCCAGGAAAACCTGGTGATCAAGGACTACCAGGAGAGGAAGGAATAAAGGTCTGTACTATTCCATACTGGCAGAGACTAAAGGCAGCATGACAGAGTCAGGAAGAGTAAATTCAAACAAGGGCAGTACATGAATCTGGGTAATTTCTCAGTTGAAAAACTTTCTCAAGTTATTTAGTTTAGAAAAAGGATAGTGAAAGGAAATGGACATGGTAGAGATTTGTTTAAAAAATATTTTTTAGAACTTTGGGTTACAAAGTAGGAAAACAAAAGGATGTTGCTCTTCACTCAGGGAATCCTAGGGCTCTGCTGAGATTTGGAATGGACCTCCAAAAGGTGCTTCTCAAAGTGTGGGAATACCAATGGTCCTTTTGCAGCCTCTTAAAAGAGCTCTATACTTTTCTTCGACTGCAGAGCACCTTCAGAGGGCAAGTCTGGTGAGAAGACAGGCAGCTTCTCTGCAGCGTCACAAAGTAACTTACATGTTTGCTCTGTTCAATTGATTTTACCTTTATATTAAAACAAATCTTATGATGAGTTTTAATATGTAAAGGAAGCTGGAAATTCTGAACAGTAAGGTAACAAAAATGCTGTTATCAGTAGGAAGAGAGCTAAGAGCCCATTAGAGAACATTTTTCTTGCATGCCTCTTTCCATTTCCCAGTTGCTAATTTTCCCATGGGTGAACTGTTTAATTGGGAATTCAAATCCAGCTTAATGTCAGACTTGTCCTGATTTGGGCATTTAGGGTTAGGATTAGGGTACCCTCAACTCCACATGTTTGAAATGAAAGGTTCACTTTTACTAAAGTCAAAGGGTTGCACTGTAAGCAAAGCTGGATCTGAATGTTGCTGCACAAAGCCTGCAATTTTTCCACTCCCCTGGCCCTCTGCATGACCTGAAATTGGGGAAAGCTGCTTTAGATGCAGCTCAGTAATTCTGGCTGCTTAGGAAAGGGGCAAGAGAAATAAAACAGGCTTCCACTAAACATCTCTAATGAGTTCCTTGAGGGTGGCATGAGCCAAGGCACAAAGTTTGGCTCATTTTTTTTCCTATCAGGAAATGTTTTATTGCACAAAATTAAGTTTTCCAGAATCTGAAGTGGGAGAGGAATCTTATTACCTATTTTGTTTCTATACTTATGTATATCTCTCTTAGCCTAATCCTAATTCTGCTCTATTTTTTTCTTATCTCTGTGGTCTTCTATCTCTATGTTCCTCTGTTGATAATTGCTAATTTTATGATGGATGTCTCAGGCCATAGATTGTCACTTGGAGAAAATTGCATTGACTGGTAAAATTTGGGCTCACTATAAACCAAACTATTCTGGTTGATCAATTGCAAATTCTTCTTTTTGTTCTCTCTTTTGTAGCTTAAAAGTAAAGTTAAAAGGTTTTCTCCCACTCCTAATCTATGACTTAAATAGGATAAATAGGTTTACCTGGGAGGCCTTCTTCTGAGAAACATATCTATTCCAGAATAACACTGCCTTTGCCATACCTCCTTACCTTTTTGGTAAATATAGTTCCACTAACTTGTACAGTCCTTGTCTATTTGAGAGGATTTCCTTTCAGCCTAGTTTTTAGAGACAGTTTTGTCCCCTTCAAAGTACACCGCTGCTCCAGCCACTTTCCTCAGATCAGGCTAGATGGATTAACCTTTACTGTATCAATTTTAGGTAGGAGTTACTTATTACATCTTCGCTTCCTTCTGACCAAGTCATGCTGGAGCATCTCTTTTACTGCTGGGTTTCACTGGCTGCAGGTCCAGGTTCCAATCATTTGTTCCTTGCCAGTTGCCCCTTTCCTAACCATCTCTTCCCATCTGGTGCTCCTTTGCCTGCCCCTGGACCTCTGAATCTGGTGTGTCCCGTGCCAGCCCCTTCTGCTCCTCTCTCTCTTCTCTTCTCTTCCATCTAACTTTTGACTTAACTTCCCTTTTCTCCGCACTTGCAATTTCCTTCTCAGTTTTCAACATACATCCTTCTGACCATAGCAATGTTTGATTGGAAATAATTTCATTTTGATTCCAGTATATGTGTATGCATGCATGCATGCATATGTAACTAAAACAACTATAACTATAACAACTGTAACTGTAACAATTATAATTAAATTCTAACTTATGTACATCTTGTTTCAGGGAGATCCTGGCCGGCCTGGCAAACATGGCCCACCTGGTCCCAATGGGGAAGTCGGAGGTTCTGTATGTAACATTGTGACTTTTCTGAAATAATTAAATTCTTTGCACTACAGAGCCACTCGCAGACTGTAGTGCATCAGTACATGATTTCAAAATACGGATATGATATATCTATCTATGCTCCTTTTATAGCAACTGTAAAAAGTTAGGAAAATAGGAGCCTTGGTTAGACTGAACTAAACCTAAACTAAACTCCTGTAGTAAACCCCCAAAAGTTAAGGGGAACATTCATTTATATTTGTATTGGGGACAATTACTTATTGGAAGTATGATTGAAATGAAGTACCTAAGAGAGTACGTGCTTCCAAACTGCAACATTTGCACTCTCTCCAGTACAAATTTCACAATCCCCATTATTGATTCAACTCTCTAACATTGTGCTTGAAACTATCTGCAGGCAGATGGTCTGGAGGTAAGCATTTTCCAGCAATGCTTTTCTTGGAGAGACTTTCTTCTAACCCACTGTTTTCAGAGCTGCATTTAGCAGGACTAAAAAGAAAAATAAACAACTGGTTAAAGAAATCTAGATAGACCCCTTAAAATGTGGTCCTTCCATCCAGATGAAAATTAATTGATGATCAGTATTACAAGAGACAGGAAACAATTTTGCAAAAACCGAACATTTGGAAGTGTGGATCAGTGTGATCAAATCAGATAATCCTCTGGAGCACTACCTTTTGTTGTGCAAAAGCCTTTTCTAACAGGTTTTGTTTCTATTGTTTTTATTTTATTTTCAAAGGGACCAAAAGGATACAAAGGAGAACCTGGTCTTCCAGGTGCCAAGGGAAGTCCAGGTGGCAAAGGACTCGTGGGACCAAGAGGAGAAGCTGTAAGACCATTGATGCTTTCTAGCTTTGCTTTTTTTAATGCTTTTCAGAGGCAGCCTGCATTACAAGTCTTAAAAGATACTCAGAAGGGTAATACTTCAGAGCTGCATGTAGTATCTAGATGCTGGTGCCAGACTTTGGGGGTCGGTTTTCTTTATATAATACCTTGTGAAACAATTCATGGTATCAATCATAGAAAATTTGGAGTTTCCAATTTCTTTCTTTTTATGACATTCAAATGTAATCATGTAAAAATGTACTATAGTGTCTGATCCTTAGTTTTCTGCCTTAATATTTAAATTTTAATAAAATGTCTCCTCTTGGCACATATTAGTGGATGAAATGCACAGAAAAAACAAATAGGAATTGTTTTAATTTTAAAATAAACACATTGTCTTCTTCTTCCTCTTTGAGAACTGATCCACCAAAAGCTATATATTGAGTGCAGAAATCTTAAATTTGAAAGGTTGCATTGGTCTGAATTTTGCTCTAGTTCATTAATAAGCAAATGCTTTTATTTGTCTTTCCTTTCCTGGTAGTATCTTCATGTCTTAAAATGGAGTAGGTACTCTTTGTGCAGCTCTTTAGCATTTCAGTGAAGTAATCCACATTTGAATTTTGATTTTTTTAAAATAATTTTACTCTGTTTTGCTTAGGGTCGTCGTGGTGATCCCGGAGACATAGGAACACCTGGAAACCAAGGATCCAAGGGGGAAAAAGTAAATTCAACAAGTATCCAAAACAACTGATATAAACCTTTTCAACACTAGTGCTTAAAAAAAATATCTTGGGAAAGGGAATGATACATGTAGATTTCTAGTGGAAATGAATAAGCTATTTAAAAAAAGAACCAAAGGTTGTATGAGAAAAGTTTTTCCTTGCTTCCTAAAGAGACTTGTTTGATTCCCAGTCCTTGCTGGGTGTCCCAACTGTGATTCTAGGAAGATAAAGGGAGCTGTTACTTATGATATTTTGCCTTTATTAATTTTCCAGGACACATTGGTGAATTTTATTTCTTAACTGGAGTTCTTAACATGGTGCTGATATACTTCAGTCAGTTCACCAGTGTATTTCTTGGCAGCTGCCTGCTTGATTTGACTTTTAAAATGTAACAAAACAATATTGGGAAAGTGACATTCTGCAAAGCAAAGTTCCAGCCTCCAGAATTATCTGACTTCCGTGAGCATTCTTTGAAAATAAAAATGGAGCATAGTGGCAGCTGGTCCACAAAACAAGAAAAGGATAGATAAGGAGAAGCCAATGGGGGACAGGAGAAAGAGGTAGCATCTTTTTCCTTCTGGCAAATTAGCATTTTATACTTGGCCATGCCCACTGTGTTTCTGTGTATTTTTAAGAGCCATGGTGGTGCAGTGGTTAGAAAGCAGTACTGCAAACTACTTCTGCTGACTGCCGGCTGCCAGCAGTTTGGCAGTTTGTGTCAGGCGTGCCTCCTTCAATAACCAAGAAAGAAAACCCCCAACTCCATTTGAGTAGAGATAAAAGTACTCTTACTGGATATGAAATGAAAGCAGCGAAAGAAAAGTGAGATCTGAGTCAAAAAGGCATGGACGTGAACATATCAAATGTTTACCCAGGACCCTCCCCCCAATTACCCCAACCCAATATCCAATCTGCAACTCCCAGAGGGGTCATGTGTGGTGCATCTTCAAAAGGCCTCATTCAGTTGGTATGCAGAGATGGTTGACCTTGACCAAGGCCAAACATGAGCCATCAGCATGCGCAGAAGATAGTGAGAACAAAACTTCCTTCATGCTAACTTCTCCAGTACCAGCAATTCTCCTCCCCCAAATACCACAAGCCCCCACCCTCCCCGTTTCTATGGCAGCCAATAGCAAGCAAGCAAAGTAGAAGCTGACAGTTTGCGTCTCACTTACTCAAAGTTGACTCAGCCTTCCATCCTTCCGAGGTCGGTAAAATAAGGATCCAGATTGTTGGGGGCAATATGCAGATTCTGTAAACCACTTAGAGAAGGCTGTAAAGCATTGTGAAATGGTGTATGTCTAAGTGCTATTGCTATTGCTATTTTTAGTTATGATTACCTGTTGCAATAAATAGGGCAATAAACAGATTTAGAGATCAATAAGAAAGTAGTGAAATATTAATCCAGGTCCCCAATGTTTACCTTACATTAAGGTTTAAATATTAAATTTATGGGTGGATGGATGTCTTTCTGGAGTTTTCTCTCAGTTATTATACATAGTAAGCTACAACAGAGTTGAAAGCAATAACTAATATGAATTATTTCTTTTTTCACAGGGAGATCCTGGTTCTGAGGGACAAAGGGGTCTACCAGGAGAAGTTGGAGAGAAAGGAAGAAATGTATGATAGAATATCAGTCAATGCCACTCCGCACCCCATTTAGACTTCTCTAGTCACTACTTTAAAAGTAGATTGAAAAAGGTTTCCCTATTATTATAGATATTTACATATTATTGGTTTACTAGAATGTGTGCGACCACTAAAATATCCTGGCAAAATGGCACTTTATTATGTTAAATTTAAAAAACTTTGATGCTCAATTCCCGACAGAAGAAAATAAAAATGGTAGGGTAGGGGAAAGAGGACAAGAAGTCCAGTCACAACTATCCACTATTAATTATACTATTTAATAGAGTTGATGGGAAACAAAAATCTGGAGCTTTCTCTGGATAACTTTTGTCCTCTAAAATTGTATGGATAACGTTTAATTTTTAATTGTCTGGATAACTTTTGTGTTCTAAAAATTGTCCTCTTATGGATTTTCTTGCCTCCTTGTTCACACAACTTTCTGACATTGGGTCTCCTTTCCAACTGGGTTAATATTAATGTTTAATATTTCAATTTTGAGGCTCTAAGTAGTTTACAAAGAGTTAGCTTTAAAATAAACTATCTTTTAACACAGTTAAAAGAAACAATATACTTCATTGTGAGGTATGCATTCCATATGATTAAGGAACCTCAAAATCAAGAATCCTGATAGTCTTTGATAGCTGTTAACACATCTTTCGTAGTATGTATTTACGGAAATATAGTCTAAAGACTGCAACGTTATCTAATAGAAATTGTTCTTCCTTATTTGTTGTTGCAATGAAATTTAGTGACCATTCAAAGTTACAGCGGTACTGAAAAAAGTAAATTATGATCAGTCTTAAACTTATGACCATTATAACATCCCCATGGTCCTGTAATCAAAATTCAAGCACTTGACATCTGGCATGTATTTATGACAGTTGCACTGACCCAGGTTCCTGAGATCACAATTTGCAACCTTCCCAACTGGTTTCCAACATTCAAAGTCAATGGGAAAGCCAGATTCACTTAACAATTCACTTACGTTTCACTTAATTGCAGTGATTCGCTTCACATTCACTGTGGCAAAAAAGGTTGTAAAATGGAGCACAGCTCATTTGCTTAGTAACAAAAATTTGGGGCTCCATTGTGGTTGTAAGGACTGTGGTTGTCAGGACTGCCTATATATAATAAATAAATAGGCTCATTTTCACATGTTATGACCAGCGATGCGTTTCACACTTTGTTACGACCAATTCGCTGCATGCCCACCCCCTTCGCCAGCGCAAGTGCCCCTTCCAAGTATGTATCTGCCCTTCCGTTGCATGTGCTTTGCTCGCACACGTGCCTTCCACAACTGAGCCTGGCCTCAAAAACATGCCTAACTAGGACGGCATAGAGCCAGGGCGGGTGGGCAGGCCCACCCGTGATTTCCACTACCGGTTGCTTAGTTGCTTTGGACTCTTTCTAGAGTCTCAACATCTTTTTATAGTGTGGTGACCAAAACTGGATCCAGTTTTGGTCACCACACTATAGGTATGGTCTTATTAGGGCTTTATAGGGTGGCATTAGTACCTTACTTGATCTTGATTGTATCCCTTTGTTAATGCAATTTAGGATTGCATTGACTTTTATGGCTGCTGCTGCACACTGCTAGCTCATATTTAACTGGCTGTCCACCAAAACTCCAAGATCCCTCTCACAGTTACTGCTATTAAGCCTGGTTTCACCCAGTCTATATGTGTATCTGAAGTGGTATCTGATGTGAGGGATAGCTCTGACTGTTCATCTCACATTTTGTTTCACAGGGAGATCAAGGACCACCAGGTCAGCGTGGTTCACCAGGTTCTGTGGGAGAAAAAGGCAACCTTGTAAGTTTATCTAAGCATATTTACAGGATACAGCTATTAATTTACTCCCTGTGTTGTTGCTTTCCAACAAGCAGCAAATAAAAAAAATACATTTTCTTCCCCGTACAAATTATTTCAGTCAAAATTAAAACGTGACCCGTCAAAACCGCGGAGGACAAAATCGCACTCGACAAAAGCGCGCATNTTTCTTCCTTTTCACATCCAGAGAAATATTCTGCCTTTTCAATATTTCCTAGGTTATTTCATTTTTCTGGGAGACGGCTGGGTGATAACTTCCTACAATTGTCTGGCTAATTGCTGGGATGTTACTTATATTATCATTTGTGACTTCCTTATTGTGAGCCACCTTGGTAAAACTTCTATCCCTAAAAAAATTCTTTTTCACCCAATTGGCCAGACAGGACTTAACATTGCAACAGAAGTCTTGTGGTGGGCATAGGAGTGGGGAAGACCTTCCATGTCATTTATTCTAGGATAATATTTAGTGACACAGAATTATTTCACTCTGCCCCAAATAATTCCTGATAATATAATAATTATGTTGTTGCTTTTTTTAAAGGAAGCAGGGCTTGATTCATCTTGTTTTCTTACATCCTTTGTAGGGAGAGTTTGGAACAGATGGACGAAAGGTAAGGTTTGACAGAGGAACTTAAGACACTATTTCACTATTGGTCTTATGGAAGAAGCTGTCTCTAATGCATTTGGTCTTTGATTTCAGGGAGCTAGTGGTGCTGCTGGAAGAAATGGCACTGATGGACAAAAGGTAGTGTTGTTTTTAGCACTATAATGTTAGTCTTTTGTTTATATTGATAAAATGCCTTTTTAAAGGAGAATGGGCTCCCTAAATATAAGCTTTAATTAGCAATCTAAAACAGGAGAGTGGCCCAGACAGATCATTAGTTTTCCCTTTCATTTTGTAACTTTTTGCAATTCATTGCTTGTTGCCAAGTTCTTCTGTCTCATTCCTGAAGTTCCCTAATATCCACATCCTCATTTCATTTAATTTAATTGGAAGAAAATAACTATTTAATTTATAGAAACAGTCATTTGATCTGTCTGAAAATTTGTCAACGCCATGTTGTGTATTAATCCCGAATAGTTGAGATGCATCCAAAATTAGTGGAGCCCCATGAGTTATCACCTTATTACCCACAACTTTTTTAGACTTGAGTTACTGCTCTTCTCTTGGCATTTGGCCTATAATCATTGGCTGCTATTGTAAATCAAAGTAGGGCATTTCCTGGAAAACAGGCTTCAGACAACTTCTCAGCCTTACTTTTTGCAGCTTACCAGGATAACGCTATTAACATTCAGTGGAAAACTGACAAATTCTATTACAATGACTTTTTTTTTTAAAAAAAAAAACCTCTTAAAATGAATTAAGATTTAATATAGATGTTTTACACTTATGTAACCCCTGGGAGGATGAAAAAATAGAAATGCTGATATACGGTCTCCTGCCATGCAAAGAGAGTTGGACTAGATTCTTCCACCCCACTCCTGTTTAATGTACCTCACAATTTCTTCTTTTATATCTAATGTTTTCAGGGCAAGATGGGGCGGATTGGACCTCCTGGCTGTAAGGGTGACCCAGGTGAAAGGGTAGGAGTGCTTTCTCTAACTATGTCAACTCTTTTTTCATACTCTTATAAAATTTATGCAAAGGAGATTATTATACTCAAAGTGTCTTGGAAATTTTATGGATGACTATCTGATAACCCGGCGTTGTCTGGATATTTATTTATCCTAATCCTGTATTACACAGGAAAAGCCCTGATTTCAGCAACAATTAAATTAGTTACAAATGTTTTCCCTGTGACCCCAGAAGCGTCAAGGAAAGTGATACCACCTTGTTGTTTTGCTAGCTGATCCATGATCATTTGGCATGCTTTTTTCTGATCTTGATTTAGAAGTGGCTTCTTGTCCATGATATTTGCAGTAAGCTGTTTGATGTAGTTCTTTTCTTGTATGTAATCTGTGTGAAATATGTCGTATCAATCTCATAGTGGTGCAGGTAGGCTGAGTTGCAGTAATGTTTTATTGATCATGGCCATATATTTGTCTTCAAAATAATCAAAGCCTTGTTGAAAAAGTTTGGATCAAATGTAATTTTTAATGTTGGATTTTTCCCCCTTACCAGAGGGAACCCCCTTGTGGAGTACTGTGAAGCTGATACCATGGCAACTCCACTGCTCTGTACAGTAGAAGTCATTTTACAGCAGTATGGTAGAAGTCATTTTAAGGCACAACAGGCTGTATCTTAACAGAACACCCGCCCTTGAGGGGTGTTAGGGGTTATTCCCACAGTATTTGTTTCCAGAGAGTAAGTCATCTGTGTACCAAGTTTGATTGAAATTGCTTGAGGCGTTCCAGAGTTATGCTGGAATATACACACACACAGTGCAAACTCTGGCTTAGATATGTTGATGACACTTTTGTGATTTGGCCACAAGGGGAAAGAAAAACTGGACAACTTCCTCACACATCTCAACAGCC